ACGGGTCTGAGTCATTTTCACAGATATAGTCATTACATTAGGTGACGAAACATCTTTGATAAAATTGTTTACCATCTCTTCTTCATCCCAGTTGGTGACGATCCCCAAGCTAAGTGAAAGATTCCTCATCACACGCAAACCATGCACGTTAGGTTCCTTATCGAATTTTTGCTTTCATTCACGGGATAATAAAGTTTTCTGGCTGTAATGAAAATCGTATTTGACTAATATGTCAAAGTATCATGCAGATAAGAAGGGAAACAATCCAACAAGTTCATCCTCAAAGAAGTAACACTGGCTGACTTCTTCAAGGGTTCTCACCAAATAGCATTAATAATATACTGTAACGCGTTACTTTTAAAGGTACGTACAGAGTTCCTGCGTAAATTACATGTTTCTTAGAGGGAGCTAGCCCCAACCCCCACATATTTACTCACTACAAGGCATACCTGTTGCATGTCATTCGGATGAAGCATGGTAGCAGAACAGGCATTCACAAATTGACAAGATGGAAATGTCGAAGTATTGTCTTCTTCATAACAAGAAAAACTAGGACTTATGTATGATCATTACATTCACTGCCCGGAGAGAAATAATGCTTGAAGCCAGTACGTCCATTGTCGCACCTTGTTCATTTTGTGCAAGAACAATAAGGAAAGGTTCACGAGTGTTGTCTGCTGTCTGTTGCTCTTTATTGATTTCAGAACTGTGAATTTCACATACTGTCGTACCGATCTACGTCAAAAGCTCACAATCTTACTGAACATTATGGATGTGAGTCAGTTATCTTCATTTATCTACTCCAAAATCAAAACGCGACAGGCTTGTTTCAACATATCAAGTAAACTTCCAGGACAACTTCACCATTTTCGCGGTTAATCAAATCCTGCAGTTGGTAAGCATGGTGTTTTATTGTTCGATTTCATGATGGATAAATCCCAAATTTATATAGTTATGAAAACGTAGTCTCAACAAATGCATTGAAGAACAAATCTACCTTCACCTACTGATTGCTTCCTCCTTCATCCTCACAGTAGATAACACTCCAGGTCCAAATTTCGCGTCCCCAATTGATTGAGATTATGATACGTATAGACCAGTGCTATGGTATCCTGCTTGCCATTGGTCGAACAGAGATATCCCACTCACATCGGCAAGCTAAAATGTACGGAAAAGGAGGATGTTTCTTGAACGACGACCTTTCGGTGGTTGGAACTCGTGATTCATTGTGAATGTGAACAGGAAAGAGACGAAACCCATCAACCGGAGGGTTATTCTGAAAAGCTAATATATCTGGCAAAGAATACTGAACGTCACCTTGATGCTATCAAACAAACCTACTGCAATTTAATATTGGAGTTGAAAAGGTTGGGAGATGGTGTGCAATCGTACTATGCAGCAGTTTTGTCAATCGTTGATGCTAAATGCCACCAGAATGGATGAAACCCATGAATCTGCACCCAGTAACCACCGGTATTAAAGCAAAACAATATGCACATAACCAGTTGGCAGCTTCTGATCGCCATTAATAAATGAAGCACTGCAAATGTTGAAATGAATGTATTCCCTTCAAGTTTTGTTGTTCTCTGGGCAGTGAATGTAATACTCTGATGAAAATCATGTTTTTCTGTTATTGCGGAGACAATGCTTCCACAGATACATCGTGTCACTCTGTGCTTACTTATTCTGCTGAAATTTATCTACTTTGTAGCGCACCTTTCAGTGACCAAATTGGAGGGACTGACGCTACCTGTCGTAAATAAACACATAATTTACGCAGAAATTTATTCATAACCGTGTGAACGGTGTATGCCAGTATGTCGGGGGAGTAAATATCATAATTACAGGGTTCCTGTGGGTCCTCTAACTTTTTATGAACAGGGAAGTCATTCAGATAAACTTCCAAAGTCCTTTCAATGTTGGTTCATCATAGCTCTTCGGTTTTCATTACTACCAGGTCAGTAGTTGGCAGTAGGCGAAGAATCTGTACGCTTGAGTGCAAACGGCATCACACATCCAATTTAGGGAGACAATTTCAACAGAAGCCAGAAATCGTAGGTGAAGTGCCGGGATAACCGCTTGGCAGCATTTACGCAGTTGATGGGAGTAGCGGAGAAGAAGGAAGAGCAATTAACGGAAGTTGCTGGGTGGTAAAAGATGAACTGAATGGGAGGAAATGAGTGTCAGATGTGCAGATGCGAAGCCATCGGTGCTTAAAACAATTGCTATACTGACGCCGACAAACTGTGACAGTATTCTAGGGTGACAACAAACTCATTACCCGTTTCCCTGTCTCTTTAGGTGCAGAGGTTATGGAGGGAGTAGTATATGACTTAGGAACTCACTCAGCAACTCAGCAATAAGTGACTGTTCACAAGGGTTTTTACCTTGAGGTTCGCATAACATCAACCTGTTGAGGGCTAGGAACAGCCAGTCTGTCTCTACCGGAAAGAAATACATTCAGACTGAGTTACTTAACTTTCCCAAAAATCTTCCGTTTGTGGCTGCACACGGGAGGTTATTCACTTGATCTGGAGATCGCCTTGACAGTCGGTTAAAATCAGCTAGGATGGACTCCTTCTTATCTCACTGGTTTTAGATGCTGAATGAGCTGTCGCAGAGTTCCATCCTTGGTTCACTACCGTTTCCTATATTGATAAATGAATTGCCAGTAGGCCTAAATCCGCACTCACCATTACGCGCTGGTGTTACCAAGACTTGGAGACGAATACAAAGGTCAACGCTTATCTTGGTCCTGCAGAAAGATCTTTCCAAAACCGTTAGCCGGGAAAATGCAGACCAGGTCCCTCTCGATTAGGGGAGAATGGGATGATGATTGTGGACAAACACTGGTGTAATTGTAGTTTCTACTTGCTTGGGGGAGTGGATGTGTCTTTGGGACGTCGCTAAGGATATAGAGCTACTCTGAGTGACACACTTGTTGTTTCTGTTTTTTGTGGCCTTGCGGTTGAGAAGATACGGATTCTCGGGTTTGTCTTTTGGCTGTATGGTGTCTAACTCATGGCTTTTGCGCTAACACATTCGGACCACCTATTCGTCCCGATATGGAGAAAGGATCGCCAGTTACACTCCCATAAGTGAAAAAGGAAATGGAAATCGCGGAGCGAATTCAGATAATAGCTGCTTAAAAAGTGACTGGGCCACGGAACAAACCGTCTGGATCGCTCACTTGCTCCTAATCTGCGTCCGGTAAAATACCAGAGCATTTGAGGGGGTATGATTATGGTGATTTAAATCCTCCATGATCCCCTCCATCCTAACCGACTTCTGTTAGGCTGTATTCAGAAGGTTCATCACAGAGTTCATCCATTAAAGGCAGAGCATGAGACAGCAAGTACAATGGTTCACCACAAACTCTTCTACAGTAACAGTATGTCAACTGTGAAATTCCCTTCATGACGCTGTCACTGACCCTCCCCTTGGTGCTCTCAGCAGGAGTTTATAGGTCCACTTAGAGTCCTGTGTTTTAGATGGGGTATACTCAAGAAGCATTCGCCAGCTTACTGAAAATGGGTAGCAGGACTGTCTGCGGGAAGCTGATAAAATAATAACTTGGTTATCCCTGTCCTTTCAGGTTTCTTTCAGCCGGGAAAGATAATGACGGCTCCTAATAGTGAACGCATTCCATTAAGACAGATGCAGAACTTAAAGAACCACTAACCATTATTCCTAAAACATGAAGTTTGAAGTTTGTAGACGCTTACAGACTATAAACTAGACACTAGCCCCAAATATCCGGGAGATGCCTCCAGAGCCTACGCAGTACTGCACTTCATGCGCAGACAACTGGGTGCTCTGACCCCGGAACTCTTTTTGAAGCTGCATAAGACCTATATAAGACCCCACCTAGGGGTACACAACATCACTGCACCACCATATCTGAAAGGAGACGTGAACCTCCTGGAGAAAGTCCAAAGGCGAGCTACAAAGGGTGTCTTGGGAATGAGGCAAAAACCATATAAGGACAAGCTGAGAGAAATGTGGCTTTACTCCCTAAGCTACCGTAGGTTACGTGGTGACCTCATAAAGGCTTACAAAATACTCAGTAACCCAAGTCATCTGAACAGTGGAGCCCTACTGAGCGGCCATTATGGCGATCCTCGTGGTAACCCAAGGAGGATCGCTCACCAAAGAGCGAAAACCCGTGTGCGATCACACTTCTCTTTGCCAGTTCGCGGCCACTGGAACGCATTGCCTGCCGAGATTGCTACTGCTCCGTCTGTTGACGGCTTCAAGAAGAGTTTGGACAGTTACGCAGCGACGCACGGTTTGCGCTCATCGAACTAGGATATGGACCAGGCTGACACGACCTACAAACTCGGTACGGCCAACCGTTACTGAACACTTTGTAGCACCACTGTCGCCGGGAACTTGGCTCAGCCTAGTACCTCCCTATAGACGTCCTCTTCAGTTACTGTCTCCGACTAAAAGAATTGCTATATTCCCATTCGTCCCCTAATACTATTTATCTTTCTCACTTATGACTTTACGTTCTCGAACTTCAACAAAAGCTCTCCCTATCACCCATTCCCTATGAACCTACCAACGTTTATTCTTCCGTGCCGTTTCCTTTTTCTTAATGTTTTTTAAATATACATTATTCTTCTTCCTTTTTTCTTTTCCTTTTTCTATTTTGTCTCCGCATTTTCTCTCCCTCGATTTCTCTGCACATATTTTTCATCTACTTTTTACAACCAGTCAGACTGATTTTCTGCTGGCACGAAATTCGAGGAACCCATCTGCACCACAGTCCTTGGAAGAAAAAGCAAACAAACAAACAACACTGCCTACAAATCTAAACAACACCCAACTGCCCGTCCGGCTAACAAGAGCTACAGCATTCGAGTGGGTAGACCTACTGCATTGGAATCCGCCAAAGACCTGGAACCGTTCCGCAAGACCTAGAAGCGAGCACGAAGAAATCAATTGGTTTACACTAGCTCGTTAAAAGATATTGGATATTGGATCACAGTAAGGCCACAAAACTAAGCGCCTTAATAGAATGTATGCGTTGCAATAGTCTTTTCTCTTTTAACGGCTGAGTTCATGCGTTATTCTCATGGATGACAATGATTAAAGTCAGCGGAAACATTGTTTTACCTTTCGTCACATGGGCTCACACGCCTCCAGACCATCAAATAACTTCAATTTTGTTGTCAGAAGATGGTGAAACTATTGCCACGGGGTCTGCCGATGGAAACATCATTCTTTGGAGCGTAGAAGACTTGTGCTCATGCTCACCTAAGTGGATGATAACTGGGCATAAATCTCTAGTCTCTAACTTGTGCATTGCAGGACGCTCTCCTATTAGTAATAGTCAGTTCTTCTTTAGTTACTCCATCAATGGGTGAGTTCTTATAAGATTTACGAGCATTAGTATGTTTGGTGTTCTGCTGAATATTTGATGTTGAAAAATTTGGGCTGATGTTTCTTGGTATCTTAGCTTCCCGACAAACTTCACTAGTGGCCACTGCTTGTTTATACGCTGGTGTATTTATACATAACAAAATAATGCAACAGCCTGGTACCTGTATTTATGCATTATATTGTAAGCCATAACTATTCGGTGATGGCTCATGATACTGCCTGTCACAGACTGAAGCAGGATTTAATCCTGGAACTCTGCTTGAAAGTACGGTGTTCGAGCTGTTGGACTACAGCCCCATGTATATACATGCGTATGCAGATGATTACTAGCTCGTAGCGAAATATAATGAAACGAAAATTCTTGGTAGGTGAGGACGGTACTGCTGAGAATACTGATGTTTGTTTGTTTACGGATGCGCACTTACTAGACAGAAATTCATAATTCCGTCCTCCGTTTTCCATTAACAGTCAGCATTTTATTCTCCAGAGTTGAGATATATTTTCTAATTACCATTAGCGATTTCAGAGAAGTTCTAAAAAGAATTATGAATCGGATTATCAATAGCAATTATTACACGGTTTAATATTACGTCCAAAGACTGAATCCGCTCCCAACCTTTTTAATTTTATAAGTTTAAGCACCATTATCTTCATTGATAAGCAAGTTTGCCTGCTGTTGCAGTTTTATAGTCCTCACATTTTTGTTGTTGATTATATTCAGGTGGAATAATATAAGGTATGGATCTAACGTAGATTTATCATTTTATCTATACGTAGAGTTCGTTAAACTAGTCATTTTCTGTTATTCAACTTCAGCTTGACTGTTTTCACCAGCCTCGATCTTCTGAATTTCTCTGCTTTCCCATGAACTTTTGCTTGCTTTTATGTCACTCTTCTTCCATTCACTGGTTTTTGCATGTTGTAGTGAAGTAAGGCAATTTGGACTGGTGCACTACTGTGCAAGATTCTAAGTTGATTTTTTCTGTCTGTCTCAACCCAGTTTTCTGTGCGCAACAGTTATTTAGTGCTGACCCGCCTAACGAAGAGGCTCGGAAGGAGCCCCAAGTTCTGGAGTGCCACAGGGCTCCCACTTCAAGATGTTTACCCCTGGCTTTTTTATAAGCGTGGGGCTGTTCTGGTCAAGATATTAACTAGGTCTTTTAAACAGACTGACCACTCTGTAATAAAGCGACTACTGTTTCTATCTCTAAAAACCGTCTACACAACATATCTGTCAACCATCAATGTGATGCCACTCATCCGAAAGGTTGGTTGCTGTCACATTTCACGGGCTTAAAAAAATGCGTGAGAATTAGTCTGTATTCCATTCAGATTGTGATCTCATTAGTCACGTGTTAACTCTTTGTCAGATTTTCGAACACTATTACAAGTATTGCAGATCAACAGTCATTGTGCTTATCGGTGTTAGGTCTGTTTTCTATTCTTTGGACAGGACTTTTCTCTTTAATTGTCTATTTTAAGTGAGTGTCACTGAGATCGTTAGCATTTTAGGAGCCCATTATCAAAATATCTCAGGCAGAGTGAAAGCGCAACCACCTCTGTCTGTTATACCAAGCGGGAAGTGGGGTTAGACGACGTTGTTTGATTTCATCATTTTCCCTTAAGTTTGCTTTGGACGACGTTTTTGAGCCAACTCTAGTGGTATGACTATGGCGTAGATCTGCTACTGAAAAATATTTCTGACATTGAGTATATGGGTTTTATCCTATTCCAAGACATTTTGGATACTCAAATCCCATTTGATCACTTGGTGATCCATATCCATTGATATATTCACTTTTGACTGACAAAATCCAAGATACTCTTACAAAACCGACAGAAACAGATGCAATCACTCACTCTTAGTAGTTAAACAGTGAAAGTAGTCGAAGATTCCATGTATCTGGGTAGCTGTGTAAATATTAGTGAGAATATGATGAGTGAAGTTTCTAGTCGTATGATGAAAGCTTAAATGGCACACAGTAATCCGGGTCATCTTCAAAGTCATTCAGATTTTAGTTCAGCGGCAAAGTGTTGAGTATACAGCGCTTTAATGCTGACAACTTTTGCCTGTGCGTGTAAGACTGCATCTTCAAGTTACAGATGTCGAACATCTCTTTCGTCGACCACTATTCTCTCCATAGGGTTACTTGGGCTTAATAGTAACACCATGTAAGTAATTGTGGAACTCTTACACTTCACTTCCCTCACACCAACAGTTGAAGAACTCATGAATTTGTACCATGTCCTGGTCAGGTTGCACTTAAAACTTTTCCTAATTATTCTCACTTCACATCACGATATGTATTAGACTCTCTGCTTCTATCGTAATATCACACTTCGTTATTTTGTCTTTTCTTCCCCCACTTCACTTACTTGGGGAGCCGCACTAGGTCGGATGGGCTAGTTGCTAAAGGAATCTCTGCTCGGATACAGAAGGCTCGTTTAGCATTTTCCAATGTGCATCATCTCTGGCACCAACTGGCTGGATATCCGACTATCTATTAAAAGACGAGTATACTGTGTTGCAGTGTGTCATGTCCTGTTGTACAGCTCTAACAGATGGCCGTTAAAAGTTGAAGAAGTTAATCATGGTTGTATTGTGTTCTCTGAGCTGGGTTGTTTAATCATGGAGTTTTCATAGTCTTTCTAGACGACACCATCAGCAAATAACCCAGCTCAGGGAATACAATACAACCAAGACTATCCACCTGAGCTATTATCCACCATTTCAAAATCATACTAGCGTAACACGCTTCATGTTGTTCGAAGATGGGAGGATTTCTCCAAAACAAGCTTCCACTAAAGAACAACCATTCTTTCTCCATGAGTGCCTACGTCGGCATATTCCACCGAAGAGTGTCAGATATAGACCATCGATTGACTGTCCATTGGGATGGAGAATAGCTTCATAAAGTGAAAGAAAAATGATTGCAGATGCACATTACCAGATTTAGAAATAAAATACTAATTAGAGACAAACAATCCAAAGAGAAAACTAGAAAGCATACTCATGATACAGCACATGGAAACATTAACAACAGCAATTAAAAAATCAAGCAGACAATACAAAGAACAACTAAAAAACGTCCTCAGGAAAAAGCTGCTCAGTTTCAGAAGCACCTACAACGGAGGAAACAAACGGTTATGTTGCCAACTTATGAAAACAACCACTAACAAAAATAGAAGAATTTCTTCAGAAAGAATTGAATTACAACACAAGACATACCTCCAGACAAGAACTTTATGCTACATTAGAATCCTCACCTAAAACAACAGGATTGAATGAGGTCACTCAAGAAATATGGCAAACAATCGTACCACTGACTAGGTAGGAGAGACATCACGCTCAAACGAACGCTCAAGAACAGCAAACATTAAAAGACTGAAAAATAGGAAAAATGTCGTTATACTTCCAGCAAACAAAGGACGCACTACGATAGTCATGGTCAAAGAGGACTATATCAAGAAGGCAGAAGATTAGCTCAAAGACGAAAATGTATATCAACCACCTGAAATAAACCCTGTCCAAAACTTCGACAAACAGATCAATAAGACCCTGAACAAACTCTTGAAAGCAGAAGAAATAACAAAGCAAGACAAATGGAGAATGAAATTGAATACACCTGTCCTTCCTCGGTTCTACGGCAGACCAAAACTACACAAACCAGACATCCCTCTACGACCAATGGTCTGACTTCCAGGAACTCCAACATACAATATATCAAGAGAACTTTCGAGAAAACTGAAGCACCTGGCCCAGTCACGTGAACACTCCATCAAATCACCAGCAGAGTTCTTAGAAAACATCAAATGCATTAATGCAGAAAACGACGAATTAATGGTAACCTTCGATGTCGCAGCACTATACACATCCACTGAACCCCAATTGGCCAAGGAAACTATGTCTCTCCTGCTCACTGAAGACATAAGCCTTTCAGAACGCATAAAACTTAAATGTTCAAGTCTGATGGAACTCATCAACCTTTATTTGACAACATACTTCCAATTTAGTGGCAAGATATACAAACAGATAAATGGAACTCTAATAGGATCACCGATATCCGAACTTATTGCAGAAGCAGTGATGCAGAGACTGGAAGCCATCATCCTATCTGTGATTCAACCAAAAATTTAGATTCACTACGTAGACGATAGTTCTGTCATCATTAAAAAAGATGATACAGAAAACCCTCAGAGTTTGGCCAACAATGATTTCAGTGATGTCGAATTCCCAATGGAGAGGGAGTCGAACAACCAACTACCATTCCTGGATGTTTTAGTCAGTAGGACGAATGTCGGAAAGCTGGAAACCCAAGTGTACAGGATGTCAACACACACTAATCAAATCCTCAACTACAGTAGCAACAACCAAACAATGCACAAAATTAGTTGCGTGCATATCGTATTAAAAAGAGCCGTACACACTGCAGTACAACAACTTCACCGAGAAACGAAGAAAATTACTTGATGTCTATTCTAAAGAAGAACGGCTACCCATTAAACTTTATCGGAAGATGCCTATTCCGTACAACATCAGCTACAAACTCATCGACAGAAATCAATAAGCACATCTTTCTACCGTACACAAAGAATACGTCAGAAATCACAAGATTACGGAGACACACCACTTGGAATTGGTGTGGCTCATAAACCAACAAATTCCCTCCAGACACTTATGCAGACCAAAGGATGCAACAACCAAGAAAGACAAACCGAACATCATTTACAAAATCAACTGGAATAACTGTAGTCAACACCACATTGGAAAAAGTGGTCACCCTCTCCTCCTTCGTCTACATGAACACCCATTGACTATTAAACGTCAGGACATTTCATTACTCATTTCAATGCACGTGGATGATTATGGACATGAATTCAGCTTTGACAATTTTTAAATCTTGGACGGAAAGAGGAAACGCAGAGAAAATCAGAGAATTTCTTGAAGTTTGGCATTCAGATCAGTCAGTCAATAATCAATGGATGTACAGACATAAACCCAATCTATCAACCAATGAGAAAAATGATCAACGACGGAAAGGTCAGAGGTGAAGCAGAAGCACAGCCAACAGGAAAATCTGTGTGGTCTGTCAATGACACAACAACCAACGGAAACAACCAATCACAAACCGGTTGATCAGAGCAAGCTACTAAATCACTCATGGAGAGATATTGATAGCTCACTTCACACTGAAGTTAGTGCTGATGATGTCATCTAGAAAAACGATGAAAGCTCCACGATTAAACAACCCAGACCAGAGGACACAATACAACCAAGACCATCCACCTGAGCTACAAATATTCTCCACCATTTCAGAAATTAATCAGTTACAGAGTTTCAATCACATGTGTCTTCGCAGCATTTCTCGTGTTTCTTGGAATCACAGTGTGAGCGGTACTGAGGTCAGGCAAAGGGCACTAGGCAAGACAGACAGGTGGATTAATAGGTTGTGAACCTTGGTCGACTGAAATGGCTTGGACATGTACCGGGCATGCCAAACTACAGGCTACCTTGATGTGTTTTGCTGGGGAAGTTGGATTAGGTTGGAAAAGGAATCAAAGTGGCCAGACCAAGACATGTGACCAGTCTATGAAGTCTCTGACTGTTGGTCTGGGTCGTATAGGGAGATGCAGACCACCTACCGGAGACGATAGAAATCAGTGATTAAGGACTCTTGGAGAAATGGTTGAAAATCAATGGCAATAGCGCAGATGTATTCACTCCTTGACTTCGTCTAAAGCTTTAGTATTTGCACTGACCCTCATCTTCAGATTGTTTGTTCCCTCACACGACTTTGTCTACTTTGATATGAGTTTTTTTCTATCCTGTTCCGTATGTACTACTGTGAAGTTTGGCAACTTGAGCCGATGCTATCGTGTGCCAGGTTGTACGTTGATCGTGTCTATCTTCGTCTCATTTTACAACTTCCTATTACTTTTGATCACTTTTTAAAATCATTTTTTGTTCTTTCATCATGTTGCTTTCTACCTTATTGTGCTGATGTAAGATGTAGCAAATTGAACTGTAACACAATAATGTCAGATCCCATGTGGATCTTGACTGCCTGACTGACCAATATGGTTGGAAATGCGTATTGCATATCCTAACCATCCCAAGTGATATTATTTGATCTGATCATAAGTTGGTTTATCTGTATACAGGACTATCTTAAATATTTTCTGTAAATGCACTGTACTTCATTTTGACTGACGGTTACGAAAATTATGTAAGTATGACATCTTTATGACTCCAGAAGCAAGAAGACTGTGCTAATTAGTGTAATAATTGCCTTCAAAAGTTCATCATCCTCATGAAGATCAATATAGCACCAGGCATTACTGTGTAATAGTTCAAGTTGCCACATCTCATATCACCACAGGTGGCAAGGCAATAAAATGTAAGGTGAAGTAAATAAAAATCTGTCAAAAGAAGTAGAAGGTAGTAAAAGAAAGGAAGGAGGAATGAGAAAATTATGATTTAGATTTAGATTGATAGGAAATTAACATTGATTTACTCATCTAATCTAGTTTTGAGCATGAAAATGTATCTTTCACTCATTATACACTAGGTAATATCGTGAATGAATATCAAAACTAAAACTTTTTCATCTACCGTAAATCATTATGTTTTCATTGTGATGATTAGTCTTTGTATAGTTTGGGAAAAAGTAAGCATCATCAGCTCATTAAATACACTGCATGATAGCAAGATTTAACTGTAGAGAAAAAAATCATTCAGGTAAAGATATAGAGAGATGATAACTGTTAAAGTAAATCGTATCATTCTAGTTGCCTGGCTTACGTTTGTTTTTCGTCTTTTTACACTTACTGTGTTTCTGTCTTTTAGGGAAATGGCTGTTTGGAATTGGAATGATGGAAAGTGCTTGGAATTCAAAATGGATACGCGCTATCGACACACATACATCAAAGTAGGTTTCCTTATGCTATATATTTGTGTGTGCTTTGTCAAGCTACTTTTTTTTGGATTACACTGTTCTTGTTTTGGATCCAGCATATTTAGTTGATTTTCATCATTTATTCATGTCCTCCTATGGATTATCTGACCTGACTATATAACCCGGCGTTTAGGCTTCACATAGTTTAGTCTGTAGAACTATGATAGCTTTCGTAAAATGCATTCAAAGATACATTGTGTTGATGAATCGTAAATACTTATGACATCTTTATGCGATATCCAATCTTTAAATATGTAACTTATGTTGCATATTGCTGAACGATATAAACATCGACAAACAATAGGTTTCACCTACCAGATCTGAATGTGAAACGGTTGTTTAATTCATTTGAGGTTATCTTCCAGCGAGCTGATGTAGGAACTCTGAATTATCTACATCACAGTGTGTTTACTGATGATATTCTGTATTATATTTCTTTAGTTTATGGCAGTTTATGTCCAACCTTTGGGGTATTTATTAGGTGGTTAACCTCCGACACTATAGACAAATGAAGGAAATATATCGCATGCATTTGCGACTGATATATTTTTTCAACCGAAAGACGCTTTCTTATGACGTGAATGAAAAGCTTTTGTTGTTCGCCATATATTTTTACACTTTTTTCACACAAGAGTTATTTTTGACGTGGTCAGATATCTTTTATATTTTCTTGTTCCTTATCAAGTCATTCAAGCATTTTAAAACGGGCTCTATCATATATATATATATATATATATATATATATATATATATATATATATATATATTTCAACAGGATATATTGCTTTATTTCCTTAAAATGGGTCACTAATGTATCACCATTCTGTTAAGGGTCCTTATCATTTGAAGAGATCAAATTCAACATACATCTGTCACCTTTTGAGCCTTCAAGTGTTTCAGCGAGCACCGTGGTTGTTTACAATTTAGTGGATCCTTGCTTTTCAAATGGAATGGAACTGGTAAATATGGTTGACTGTAGCATGAATTGACCTTTTCTTTGTTAGATAAGCAGATACAATCACTCAATTGTAGTCGTATCTACCTTTTAGGACACTGTTCCAGCGCTCTAACGATAATTTTGAGAATGAAGAATTTAAACCAACTATGAAGTCACTGCTTTTGTTCAGGCCTTCTCCTGAGTTATGCATGTAATTATAATGAGGTCTTCAAAAGAAACTACCAGAAGTTTGTAGGTTGTGCTGAAGATTTCATTTGTACCTCATTTCATCATGTTAAGTACCTCAACATTTTCAGGAATTAATATTTCCATCATCTAGCCACAAGCATGATTGGCAAACAGATAGACCAACACGATGACAAAATCTCACATAAAATGCATCATTTTGGACTGAGACAATTCGAATTACACAGATAAATGTTAGTCTGTGTGAGAAAAAGAATACCATTCTGAATATGAAAAAATCTGAGTACGTCTGCATCATCATGATTAATTCAAAGCCAAATCACACGGGTTCTTCAACCATTATTTCCTAACAATTTGTGTATTCTAGTCGGTAAACTTGCACAAGGAAGGTCGATTATCACGAATCGCATAAACAAATGTTATGACTTGGTTTAGCTACTATTAACTTTCCTCCTTCTGTATCATACATTTATACCCTTGATTGGTCACGTGTGAGCAACCAATTTCATATTGTCTAGTCCTGAATGCAGACCAAGTTCCTGCCGATTGCCCCTAACCAACTAACATCTACCAATGTGTACCTCGATGCTGAGCCTCGTAGTTTGGTGATCACATTGCTTATATGATCCATAGAATTCGGTCTGCATTCAAGACTAGACAACATGAAATTGTTTGCTCTTCTGTGACCAGTCAGTGTATGTAACCCAGTCCCGTAGGAGGTTAGTCGTGACCTGAATAGCTAAGTGATAGCAGCGTTGACTACGACACTTGGTTACGTGTGTACGAATCTCAGGCGGTACATCAGTTCCATCGAGGTTACAGATACGCCTTGCTGACGAGCGCCAACACCACGAAACCTAGGTCCAAGGCTTTCTTCCGATTGCATCCAACCGACTAACATTTACACCTTTCACTGGTCGATCCCATCACTTTTTGACCAATGTTTCTAAGGTATCGAATATCCATATCCATTTTCACCGGCTGTCACAAAACCTTAGAATAGAATAGAATGATTAAAAGAGCCGTTTTCGTTAGATGGGAGGGAAAAATTCTGCCAGTTTTTGTAAGGATAACTGTGGAACATCGCTCGTAACTGCAACAGGGGTTTGTTGAAGATCACAAACCATTTTCAAAATGCATCGTTAATAATCGTTATATACTTTGTTCAAATTATAACGAATAGTTTGATCATTGTTTTCTACTAAGCTAAAATGTAAGGAAATTCACTATTGTTCCAAAATAATGACAAACTTTTCCTCCATAAAATTATATTCAGTCTGGTGGTAAAGAGCTACTAAAATGTCATTTAACTCAAACGATATGAGAGTGTATACTGTGATAGCATAGAACATTTAGTCGTAGGATATGAAAAAGCTCGTTAAGTATGTAGTCGCAGAGTTGGGCTCAAAAATGAAGGACATTAAAAAGAAACATCGGTGATAATCTTTAGATTTGTCTATTGAAAGTAGACCATTACTACTCTTTGAACTGCTAGACGAGAGATTCATAAATATATGCTGTTAGTGTACTATTACAATCCTGTACCGAACACTTGTTAGAAGATCCTGAAGAGACCTTTAACCAGCCTTATTATTTAATTTCCGTCTTTTTCACTTTATTTTGTACAACTTGAGACATGGCATAAAAGCATTATGACCTAATTTGATGATGTACCAAATGCGAAAAATAACAGAAACTAACAGAGTATACTCAATTTCCTCATATAAGTCATGAGTGATTACGATTGTGTGAATAACATTGATTCCAAAGCTTACTGTTGGCAACTTGGGACAACTTTGTTTACTGTGGGTTGTGAGTTGGACCAAATGTATGCGGTTTAGTGATGCCAGTCGGCCGTTGTGATCGATGTGTAAAGACTTCATTTAAACTCTATGGTATTCGAAAGTCAATATCAAGGAGATATAGCTCTACTTTTGCCTTATTTGAAAATTGTTAGCCAGTAGTTGCGCACTTAATAGATATTTGCATTGAACCTACCTAGATATTACGCTTTAATTCTAGAAATGCATTTAAAGGGTTTTTTTACATTACCCGGGTCACATCACGTATCCATGTAAGTCATATGTACTAGATGCTTAATGCAGTCACCAGTGAATCTTGCTTGCTTATTAGCTTTCACCATGTTTGACTCAAGGTCAAGGAAAACTATGTTCCTTTTGGTTATTCAAATCTGTTCCATTCACCTTTACAGTCAATCGTGATACTGTTAGGCTACTTGAAATCTGATTGGGATGAAACTGTCTATCGGATTTCGAAGTTACTCATTGTCTGAGTTCATTACCTTACCATCAATTCAGATATAACATCAAGTTGCTTAATCAGTCTAACTTTTTTCACTGATACACTTCTCAATTGGTATGTTAATTGTAGTTTAGTCAGTATCCCTTCTCATATTTCTAAGTGTCTAGTTGAGATATGTTCACCAGTTTGAATGTAGAGACCTGAATAAATTGGTCTTAGTACTCGACTTTCAGTCAATCGGTTCTGAATTCGCATCCAACTCTGTCTACTTTAGCGCAATAAATGTGACTCCAGGAATTGAATTGCATTTGATTATTTTTTAAGTTTCACAGCAGTCAATATACAATCTTACTGATAATTTCTGCTTCCAAGATGTTTTTTACATTGACTATTTCCAGTTTATACGCTACGAAATGTGTTTTTGTCTCTCAAATTGTCAGATAGTTATTGCTTTCACTTCATCCTGTTATTTCTTCTCTCAATTTCTAGTCACATCAAACATGTTTCCTTGATTATCGTGTACTATTTTGTTGTGGACAATATGCACATATCGTTGTATTACATGCTACATCATTGACTGTTCTGTTCACTTTGGCTTCAAATTCACAACCTGATTGGATATCTTCATTTGTTGTTGTTACACATCCAAATAAACGAAGTAAGTTGCAGTGTTTAAAATGTGTGAAGTTGTGTTCTTGCTTCTCTAGTGTTTATACTGTGCAGTGTTTAAACTTGTTGTAGGAGTGTCACTCAATGGCGTTGATAGTCGAAGTTAATCATTTAATCATGTATTCAAATTCATCTCACTTGGATCACTGTTGATAACTGTATGGTACCACTGAATTCACACATATAGGAGGAACTGTGTCAGATCACTCTAGATAGTTAACTTTTGACCATTGAGTTACGGGCTCGAAACCCGCTATACCTACTAAGATTCGGGCTACCAATCAGTATGATTAGCCCTTAGACAACAGGTACTGCCCATTGCCTACTGCACTAATGCATAGTTCGTTACTGCGTGTTGCATCACCTCACACATTAGGTGTAAGTTGTTAGTTTGATAACTGAGGAATAAGAAGACATAGAAATTCGGCTTAAGTGTCTTCATACATCGTATCTCATCTACCATAGATGCTTATCAAAAGCAGCTTTTTATAGTATTGTTATGTGACTGGTTCTATCAACTTTCCGTCCAGTCATCAGTTATCACTGACAAGCGACAGTAGTTTAATGGTGAGCATGCTACTTGTATTGATTATTAGTCACCAATTGTGTTGTATTTCTGCTTATTACACATTATAAATACATTATAAACTCTGCGATATCTAAGCAACCTAGCCATCTATATAGAAGGAGACGTATTCAGCCACCTTGTGCACATCTGTGCAGTAGGCAGTGAGCCACACCTGTTGAGTGAAGGCTTATGATACTGACTCCCCAAACCTCAGCAAGTGGGGCGGGGCTCGAGTCCATGACCCATAGCCATAATTCCCATTCATATAAAGGAACTGCCAATATTTTCCCTGTCTTCTATCCACTGAATATGAAGCTGTCTTATTAGTAAAGGCACTGGGCCTTCAAATAGTGGGTCACAGGTTTGAACCTTGCTCCACACTTGGTTTGGTTAGCCAGGTAGTATCATTAGCCCTTACACAATAGGTGTGGCTCATTACCTATTGTACAAACGTCCATGTGCTTCCTGAGTTGTATTTCATTTCATTTCCATTGAATCATTCACACTTCGGAAAGATTAAATTCACACTGGTGATATGGGTGGTCATATAGCAAACAAGAAGAACCAGTCTCCCACGGTGTGGATAGCCGAGAAGTGTCAGCCGCCCTCAACTCTATCAGCACTCAAGTTCACTCTGATCACTACCCATCTTTCACATCCTTAACTTCAAATGTCCCTTCACTTCTCTTGGTCAATCTTCCTAATTCACCTTTAATTTCCCCTAGCTGTGTAGCCATTGTCCTAGAGTTTTTGCTTGTTAACGCAGGTGATCAAGGCATACCTGAAATCATCCACTGTTACCTTAAGTTACACGATTTGTCAAATACTATCTCAGAAGTCGTGAGACACTAGCAAAGGCCAACCCAGCCCCACTATCCTTTATCTCACTGTCACTTCCCATACTGACCACCTCTCTGCTCCTTCCAACCGGTTGTTGCGTTGGAAAACTGAATGGTATGGCAGCCACTGGAACAGCATTTATAACACAATTTTAAGCCATGGAGACGTTGTTTCAAGATGACTTCACTTAATGAATGACGATCAGTATCACATGCAAAAGCATTCACCACCGCACACCAGAATTACTTAAAGGGTGTTTCCACAAGATGCTAGCAGTACTACAGAAACACTAGTGGTCAAATGTGCATAGTCATCGAGTATCTTCAGCTTGCGTAAGGTAGGTGTCACCGGCATCGAGTAGAATCACCGTAACCGACGCATTGTACACCCGACCTTTCACAGATAGGCTAAAGTAATGATGGCACAAAAGGTGACGCAGATTGACGTTTGGTTTACGGTTGGATGTCTCATCAATCACATCTCCACTATCGCTCACACAACCACTGAGATACACAAATTTTTAGACAACTTCATATCCAGTGGCGGGTGGTGCAGCTTCAGGCTCCTAATAATCTTGTAAAAGTATTTTGCACTTTCACAGTGTGTAGCACATACTGTTCTTGAGGAAAATGATAGCTAGATGATTGTGACCTCCATAGATTGTCATACAGTGAAGTAATATTGTCCGCAAATTTTAGGTTGAAAGTTCTTCTGGTACTAGATCGAGACCACCACAACGCACCTTCATAGATACATTACATCAATTATATGCTGAGTATCTCTAAACGTACTGCATTTGTGTTTTTTTTTAATGAATGTGACTGCTTTGTTCACCTTGAGGAATTGCATCACTTTTGATGGAGTTACTTTCTACAAAATCTTAATAAAGCTACGAAATATTCAACTAATGCTTGCTAACATATTTGATTGACTACAAAGGGGGACGAACATACAGTGCATTGTCTTTTCTCCTACATAACTGTGAAAGATGGTATTTTTAAAGGTAGACAACTCACGGAAGCTGCATGTGTATTTGTCCACTTTTCTCTTGAAGGTTGGCTTAGGTAAGATAGAAGTTTTAGTTCAACCATATACACATAGTTGGTTACTGCGTATTGCATCACCATTATCCTCACACATTAGTTGTTAGTTTGATAACTGAGGAATAAGATGATGTAGAAATTCGGCACAAGTATTTTCATGCATCGTATCTTGTCTACTTATGTCGTCACTTATCAACTTCTTTTGAAATTGATCTCTCATCCAGACATTTTTAATGTCTGGGAAGGAAGTCACTGATCAGATGACTGTTGAAATTAGATTATATCAGTTTTAGTGGTCGAAACATGTCACTATCGAGTTACTGTTAACTTCATTACATAGTGGTGTATAAGGTAGAAATAGATTGAATGAAGTATGTGAATTACTTGAATTAAAACATGCAACTGATGCATAAAGTGTCTGAAGAGTATAGAGAAGCGTAAGCCTGTTAACTGATGTCCTCAAGTCAACTGAAGTCCATGATTGGGAACTTTGGACGATATTGTATGGAATTAATTGAAGTAAGGCGAATACATCCAGCCTTTATCACCTTTTGAACCTTGAAAATCTCACAACCATGTGTTTTTGTTTCTTTCCTTACCTCTTCTCTTTTGCTGACTATTTTTTTCACCACTACTAATGTATATTCTTTGCATTTAATAGTCGCCTTCCTCATTGACTTCATCTCTATATGGTAATAGTGTTGTGAAGTGTAACCCATATGATAAAAGAAACCAAACTTTACACAGACATGCAGCAGTCCAAGTTTCTACACATCAATACAGCATAGAAAGATGTATATATTGATTCGTCACTACAGAGTAACCAATTCCACGTTATTTATTTTCTTAATACTGACCAAATTTTATCGGTAGCCAGTCTCCTAGCTCGGTGACCACATTGAATAATGATTGATAGAATTTTTGTTCATCACTTAAGAATAGACAACATCAAATTGATTACTCTTCAGTGAACAATCAGTGTATATCATCTAGTCCTAGAGGAGATCAATCACCGCGCAAATACCTCTTCGGCAACGTCTCTAACAGCAGAATTGGTTGACTCGGGTTCGGATCTCTGATGGGACATAGGCTTCATTGGGTTGCAGATATGACGTATTGACGAGTGCCAACAAACATGAAACCTAAGTTCAGGGCTTCCTACCCAATCGCTTCCAACTAATTAACAACAAAGAATTGTGGCTGACTAGACCGAAAGGCAGTTATCGAAGATCTGTCATTGTTGTTGTTTTTTGATGCATGTTACAAAGCTTCTGAAGACTATTCTACTGATCTACTCCTTTTGTTTTGACATAACCATCTTATTAGACCTCAGTTTCTTTTCCTTTGAGTTTATTTACTTGATTAGCTAGAAAATCAGATGATTTCTGAAAAAAAAATTAATGAACACTTCTTTAAGTGAGTGAAAACTTTGTTGTGGTGCCTAACTTTAACCTTCAACTGAATTTATTCTCTACAGTCTTACTAAGGTTGCTGTTGCGTACAAAATCTCGTTACTTCTGCACTCTTCAATCATTATTCAATGATTATCTTATTCATTTAAGTTGTCCTCTGCCTACTTCTTGACTAGATAGATAGATAGATAGCTATTATTAGTTGATTATATTTATTGACGTTGACTTTGCATTCTATATCGATCTGATTTATGCAAATATGCTTAAGTTTTAAGTGATATTGGTATTGAGAATACTTTATCTACTTTCAAATAGTATTATGTTTTAGAAGTCTATTCACTAAGTGTTGAAATAACTCTTCGTAATGAGGTAGATCGCAAATGAACGAAGTGGCTGTCTGGTGCTTAGATCACTCACTTCTGGCTCACTGAATCTATTGATCAACGTGAGTGGTTCCCAATTACTCATGTTGTTCAGTAGTATGTAATTTTCATTGTTTTTATGATAGCATGCAGAGATTATATGTATTTATCCTTGCTTTTTTGAAATTGATCTCTCATCCAGTTTTTCATGCCTGTCGATTAAGTTATTCTGCTATATTTGTTCAAGTCTCCTAGGGACCTATCCAACTACCTATCAAAGAGTAAATGGTCCAGTCTATCATACTGTCCAGCTGGGAGACCTCGTCGTTCTAAGTGGGCAACATAGTCAAACTATAGGTTTTTGATTATAGGTATTTACTTAACATTGCTAACATATCACGGAACTACAGAATAAAGAAAGTGAACAAAAATACAAGATGCTAGAGTAGATAAGTTTTATAAGCCTTCATCGACTGCGTTGTCTTGGAAATGTTTTATGCATATCAACTTATTATCTTCCTTTGGGAGGAATGTTCACTAAAGTAGAACTGGATTGAAAAAAACAAACTAGATGTGACAAGACCAAAAAAGATCATCAGCTTGTAAAACCTGTAGTGGTTAGTCTGAATCGCGTAAAGAAGTGTACACCACCTGCTTTCATCCTAGAGATGATAAAAATCAATGATTGGAGACACTTCGTGATACGATACAAAATCAACTTACATGTACTTATTATTTAGCTATCTTGGAAAATAATTTAGTCATCCACAAGTCTCATCATATGGAACAACTCATTTTGTGAAAGTCTTAGCAATGAGCTGAAAATATATGATGCTATAAACGTCTTTTATATTATCTTTTGTTGTTGACATTTTCGTTTTTCTGTTTTGCTGTTGTTGTATAGATGAAATAGTTCTAGGCATTTCATTTTCCAATGTAGCGACATTATGGACGTTAGATGGAGAAGAAATACAGGTAATTTATCCAATGGCTTAATTTTGTTCTACTTTAGCCTCTTGCTTATCATTCACCATAGGTGTTTGCTGGTACTAGGTCAGTATGAATCCGAACTGTCCAGTTGTGTCCTTGTGTGTGTATGTGTGTGTGTGTGTGTGTGTGTGTGTGTGTGTGTGTGTGTGTGTGTGTGTGTGTGTGTGTGTGTGTGTGTAACCCATGACAGAACTCAACCTTCACTTAAGGTCCATAGTATGTGTAGAGTGTGTATTCCAGAACTTACTATCAGTTGTTTCAACTATCAATCACTAATAAATTAATGTGCACTTCATTATCGAGTGATTGGATTAGTGAGCTATGTTGTATGTCTTGATTGGTCGACTGTGCTCGATAATGAAGAAAGAGTAGAGCACACTATGACATAACCACCGTTCAGCATACTGGTATAAACTCCGATTTTTTTCGCCTCTTTACCGTTAGCTTTTTTCTATAAGAGTCTTGGCAGTAGATAACTTGTTGATGAAATCTTCCAATTTGGAGGTTTGTGAGGATTTATTTATTGATTTCAGGTCGATATTCGTCGTGGACTGATATCATTTGGAAAACTGGACAGCTGTCTCGTCTTAGTATGAGACTTCTCAGCAGTGCGCGCCCGTTAGGAACCTTCAGGTTACGCGGTCAGCTCGTTTCCATTGAGCCACTGGGTCTGAATTCAGTGGTTTACATTTCCTACTTCTGTCAGTATACGATATAGCACGACCTCCATTCGACATCGTCTTTGATTAACTGTCCCCATGCCCGACTTTGTTGGCTCCACTTGGTCACGATTTCTCGTTGAAACTTCGGGAATCACTTCTCGAAGCTAGTCGCCAATGAGCACTAGAATAACTCAGTCTGGAGGTTTGTGGAGATTTATTGTACCATGTACCCTGCCCTGCCTCTTCTGTCAACTTGTTGGTTTTTGCCTGTAGATCTTCGATTTTGTGCTACAAGACATTAGACATATGTCATCGGTGAAATCCAAATCTTCTTCTGGGGTCTTTTCATCATCTTACATTCGTCAGGTGCAAAACGTATGCAAGCCAAACATACTAAGATTTTTGCTGAAAACGTTAAGGAGACCCTGTATTTTGTCCTCTTCTTCCCCCAGCTGGACAATATCGTCTGCATACTCCAAGTCAACCAGATTACCTCTAAGAAGTAGACCATTCCCTGTAAAGTCAGACGTACCTAAGGTTGTGTCCATTGGTACACCTGTGACGAAGTTAAATAGGAACGGTGACAGTGGGCGCTCTTGGCGGGTGCTTGATTTAGAGTAGATAGCCTGGATAAGCATTATTTACTTGTTTGGTACTCCCTTCACAGTCAAACACAACCACAACATCTCGCAGTCGACAGGGTCAACTGTTGCCCTCAGGTCAAGAAATATGACAATTGTGGACTACTGGTAAGTGTGGCTGTACTCCACGACCTGTCGTAGGGTGAAAATATAATCGGCGCGTCCTTAACCAGGTCTAAAACCTGCTTGGTTTTCTCATGTTTGCTGTTCTTGAGCTACAGCTAGGCGTCGGATGACCAAAGATCCTAGAATTCTACTATCAAGCACATGCGATATTGTGAATATCAAAAAAATGTTAATGGAAATTTTCTAGCTAAGTGTATAGCAGTGACCTAACAGCATTTGGTTCAATACACCACTAGTTCTATAATTGGCACGTAATGAATCAGTTAGACGTATGAGGATTACCGTCTCTACTGACGATAATGATGTGGCTATTTGGTTTGTCCAGTTGATTATCAACTTTCATATCACTGGTTTGAACTCCACTTCATTTTGATCACATGAGAGGAAGTATCGTTAATCCTAAAATATGATAGGCGTAGCTGTAAATCCCTTACTTTGTTGTTGTCATCAAGTGTTTAGTGTCTTGCAATACTTTCTTTCTTCAACAGTATCTGTGTTCATAATAAGAGAAATAGTTCTCTTCAAATGTTATACTACTGATAAGCAGTTTGTTAGTTTTTGAGTAGATTTTCCCTTTCTTATTTAGGTGAACATATATACAAATGATTCACTTGGATTTTATCAACTTGTCTCTTGTAGAGCCAGGTATCTTACCAAGTTGTGTTGTGTCTCAGTGAGTGACTGTGAAACAATTACTAACGGTGGACGATATGTGAAGTTTTCAAGTAATTCGGTTAGTGTTGCTTTTGTAGCGCTGTTTGTTTGTCATGGAGTCGCCACCCACTCATCTAACAGATAAACCAATGGTTACTAGGTAAGGGGAACATATCGCCCGATGGAGGCGTTAAACCTTCGTTGAAACTAGTTAGTTCGAGGTACCTTTAAAATATCCAACCACGTATCCAGGCTAACCCATGAGGTCCCTGACTGTTAATCTTACTTATGTAGGGAAGTGTAGTATTCCTGTTTGCAGTCGAAAACATAGCCTGAAACGATGCTTTAGAATCGATTGCAGTAGCGCTGATGCGCTTATGTTTCTGTGTCTTTACTATCATATATCTTTATTCCTTCTTATAGTAGTGATGGATAGTGGCTAGCAGTGGAATCCAGGATGTGCATTTCGTCCTATTTGTGACTCGCCATCTAGATGTGCCTGCCTCCCAGTGAGTGATGTTGTTCCCACCAAACAAGACGAAATGCGCATCCCGGATTCCACTGCTAGCCACTATCCATCATTACTATCATTAGAAGACAAGTAATATCAAGGCATCCACACAGGAGCCCATATGCCGATAGAGACCGATCAATTTGGTCCAATCAGCGACGGTATTTATTCCTTCTTTTTTCCCTTCTGTTTTATTTTTTTCTAATTTGTGACTTCATATGAATATAATGTCATTTCACTTTCAAACATCCTGTTGACTTCATTCTTTCTACTGTTTTCTTTATAGGGTGAGACTAAATATGAACACGAATCAAGGTCTATCAACTGTCCATCAAATGTACTACAAGTCGACTGTTGTCCACAAACACCTCGATGTATTTTACTAGTCTGTTCTACTGCTTGGCAAGTAAGTATTGCTCCATTATATATATATGTTGTACTGTTTACTGATTCTTTTTACAATCCATAGACAGGGAGATAAACCAACGTAAAACCTCGCACATAGGTGCATCGGTTCAACTTGCCACACTCCGCAGTAGTATACAAAGAAGAGGTGTATGGATTAGTATATTATTTGTCCTTTGGGTTCCTATTAGAACGCAGGGCTTCAGTAGCACGTCTCCATTTCACTCTCTTCTCTGCAGTCTTTCCAACCTGGCTCCACTACTCCCCGTAAACTTTCATTTCTTCCTCTCACGATCTCCTCCATGTCACTCTCGCCTCGGACACCCAACTCATCGTTTCTCCTTTGGGTTCCACTCGACGGTCTGGCGTGGTCTGACATGTGATGTCCCTAAATGGTCTTCTCAGTGTATGTTCAATCCAATCCATCTCCACTTTCTTCCTCTGCATATTTGTTGGGCGATGAGTTATTGGTTAGTTGATTCGTTGCCAGCCAGCTAGCCATCCAGCCAGAGTTCCTCCTTGCTTATTCTTATTACTCTGGCTCTCTGATCTCCAGTATCGAGCGTAGAGAGCTATTGATGAATGTGTGTAGTTTGTTGCAAATGCTTTTCGTAAGGCGCCAAATCTCCCAACCATCACATGGAATCACTGACTTGACTGACATTAGTGGTGTTGAAAATGTGAATATTGTTCACACTTTATGCTGAGTGGAGTACGGTGGAGTGGAGTGTAGTGTAGTGTAGTAGGTCTCCACAATGATTATTTCAGATTAGTGCAGGAAGGCTTGTCTTGTTGTCTTTCCGATCCTGGTTTTGACGTTTTCATCTGTGCCTGTGCTGCCTCGTGTGGTTGAAACGACGCTGCCTAGGTAGATAGGTAGGTAGGTAGGTAGGTGAAAGAGACAACTTCGTTTAGAGTTCTCCCGTTGATGGTGATTGGTTGTTGTTGTTGTTTCGGTGTTTTCATCGCCTCTGCCTTCTCTGCGTTCACCTGAAGGAAGTCCCATCTTCGCTGTGCTGCCCTGCCTTGCCCTGCCTTTTCTGTCAACTTGTTGGTTTTCGCCTGTACATCTTCAAGTTTGTGCTACAAGACATTAGATATAGGTCATCATTGGCGAAGTTCAAATCTTCTTCTGTCGTCTTTTCGTCAGTCAACCAGCGTATTCCCATCTTCCCACAACTCCTCACAGTTTGTTGCATGATGAAAACCAGTCGAGGCGACCACAATCAGGAAGATGATCGGTGATAGTAGGCGACAACCTTGTTTCACTGCTGTCTCATGACTTCACTTCAAAGGCATCACTGAGCTTTCCATTGTGTTGTGAATCATTTGGTATGTAGGGTCTTCATATAACTGTTGAATAAAGTTGATAAAGGTTTGTGGCAGTAAAGGTGTATTGTTGAAGTAGTTGCCTGCCGAATTACTTTTCGGTTGACGATATCGAAGTCATTTTCAAAGTGGATAATGTTGAGGTAGAGTTGAGTTGACTGCCATTCTATGCTGTGTTCTATGATGATGCGTAGTGTACCGTATCGTTGCAATTTGATATAAATACGATTTGTACTTCCTGAATCCAGTTTGTTCCGATAGTAATTTTGAATGAAGGACATCTTTTAGTCTCTTTAGGATGATGCGGCTAAATATTTTCCTTGGGGTGGACAAGAGTATGATTCGGCTTTGAAGGTGTTTAGAAGATGCCTGATATCGAAGTAGACATAGTTGTGTGAGAAAATGGATGTTAGTGCAAATATTCAAGCTTTAGATGAGTGAATATATCTGTTCCATTGTGACCGATTTTCAACCAAATCACCAAAAGTCCTCAACCACCGATTTCTGTCGTCTTGGAGAGCTCATCTAGTCAGTCTACATCTTCCAACACGGCTCAGACCAATAGTCAGGAGTTTCATGTACTTATGCGATGTCTTGATCTGGTCACTCTGGACCCTCTTCGAAGCTAATGCAGCTTCCTCAAGCATGACACGTTAAGGTGGGTGGACAGGTGACCTGTCATGTGCAGTATGTATCCGAGCCACCATTGACGATGAAGGTTAACAGCCTCATCAATCCACTTGTGTGTCTTGCGTATTACCGTTCGCATGACGTGAATATTTCTCACACGATAACTACACTGAAGTCGAGCAATGCTGGGAAGACATGTGCTATCAAACACCTATAACTGTTTCATGTCGTCTGCTTTTAACGGGTGTGTCTCAGGTATATGACAGAACAGAACGGACTGCTAAGGATTACATACTCATTCTTCGATAGATAGTCGATTGTCTGGTTATTCGGTTCCTCAGGTGGTGCGAAATGGATGTTTTCCATCGAAACTAATTGTCAAAAATTGTTCAACTCGGTTGCACATAGTAAGTGTAGATTTCATTCGAGTACTTGTTGATGATATTTAATTGGTTACTGAACTGTAATCAATACCATGAATTGTGATGGTAACTATTGTAAAGGTTGAATATATCGTCTACGTCGATGATTTGTTTTGATGGTGAATGCAAATGTAGTCCACTGAATAATGAAATAATTTTAAATTTATCTAACAATAGACGTTTTTTTTCAATCAAAAATAAATACGTGCTTTGTTTTTCATCTATATTTTACCCCCTGTCTCAATGGTTTAGCTTTTTGATGCAATGACCTGTTCTATAACGTGTACTGTATCAAATCCATCAAATGATATATTAGTCGGTGGAGGTTTCATTAAATCCAATGTGATCGGTGTTTACGGTCGATCTGGATCTGCATATTTATACTGTTTACCAAAAAGGTAAATTATTAGAGTAGACTGTTTTCATATTTTTAGTCGAACTAAACCGCTTCAAGTCACATTGAGCATATTTTGTATAAAGCCCTTTGAGATAGAATTCAGTTGTGACATATTCTTCTTCGATTTTAAGCAATTTATTCCTTTAAAAAAATATTATTGCAACAATTTTCAAATATCATTTATTTTCTGTGACAATAGTGATATGTAATTTGAAGGTTTTCAACATCAGCAAGAGAACCATTAAGATCTTTGGGGCTTTTAATAGCTGTTTCGTCCTAGCTACTTATAAATGCCTAGATGTAAGTGGTTTTGAATTCTTACATCTGATCTATCAGTTGAGATTGATGGTGAGCTAGTGTGACTAATCAATGCCGAAATCGAAATGTACTCATCAATCACGTACACATTCGTGTAGAGTAGGCAATGAGCTACACCTGTTGTGTTAGGCCTAATGATACTGACTGCTTAAATTTTGGTTGATGGAGCGGCGCTTGAACCTACGACCTAATGGTTGATGGTTATCTCCTTAAACGATTGAGCCACAACTCTGGACATGAACAAATGATGCTCACCGATGGGTGATGGCATTTGTTGACGATCATGCTAAGTAATGGACTGACTGAATTTGCAGTATTGTTGACCAATCGAATTCCCCAGCCTTAGTATCCTGCCATTTGATCCTTTTTATTTTCATGGGCATATAACTGGCTGAATATATGTTACAGTGCCTAGAATAGCCTAAAATTATTTGCGGTCAGGGGTCAAAATATTTTCACTGATTAAAGGAAGTCACTCAGTACAAACCAGGGTTTAGAATGGGAGAATAAACAAGAGATTATGAAAATAAGAAGTGTAATTACGTAATGCAGAAGTTGTCTATGACAATCAAGGCCTTATGATATCCATAGTACAGGCAAAGGTCAAACGTACTCTTTTTGAAGACATAGCGCTGTATGACTGGTACTCCAGCTATACCCAGATGCCTTGATCTCACTCACTATGAGTGGTCTGATTGAACCCTGTAGAAGATTTTGAAAAGTGATCTGAGTTCACAGTGTTCTGTTATTGAACTAAAGATGCATTTCTATCCTTCCTTTGCTAGATAGACTGGGTATTGTTCACTATGACCGATATACTAAGCTCCACAAGAGCGAATAAACTGATATAGAGATATTGATGTGACCTAACGCTCAACTTATCTTTGATGCATTAACCAAAAAATTTCCCTGCATGGAAAATGATTCGAAGGTTGGCAGTAGAGTATGTTTTGATCTAGGGATTTTGACAGATGTTTTTTAAGGATGTTTGCAGCAATATATATTTTTTTTGAATTCAAGATTCAGCAAATGGATACTTTTAGGCGCTAAGTATGTTCATTCAATTGTGTTCTTAAAGCTCTTATCTATGAATCTGAGTGGGAAATCGTTTTCTAGCAGAGTTTGTCGAAGATTTCGCAGTTCTTCATCAACAGTGTTCTTAGTACATATTTTCCTGGTGCTTAAGAAAAGTGAATGGATAAGATTTCTTTTCTTACTTAGAGGGATCAAACTTTCAAAATTAATAAAACTGTCCGTTTCTTTAAATAAATCTACGAAGTGAATTGCCATCATTTTTTTTGGAAGTTGAATATCAAGAAAAGTGGAATGTAGAGTTTAATTCTGATTCTTGAATGAATTTGATTGAGGAGGTGGTCATTATTGAAAGTATCAAGCAAGTTTGCAAGATTCATATTTTCATCATAAACTATGAAGGTATCATCAGTGTATCTATTGTAGATATGATGCTCATGGATGTGTTCACCTCAGTAGATGACTTTATTGAGAAGGAAAAAATGTTCTTCGTTACAACTGTCCGTTCGGTCTTTTCCTCTGTTTAAAGACTATCAAATTAGGGTGAAGTAGTTGTTGATTGTTCCACAGGTATCAATTATCTTTCAGTTAACATTAGTCTATGATGAAAACTACTTTTATAGATCATTGTTGAATGTAAAATTCATTCTCTACTTAGGTTTAAAGTTGTTTTGATGCATTGGACTACTTTTCTACTTTTGTTCATCTTCTCTTTATGTTCCCGCATTTAATATTGAAAACATTCATCACTTGAAGCGATACACTTTTGTACAAATTTATAAATAACTTTGCGCTTTTCCTATTTCTTTATCATTGTGAGGTTTTTGTTGGCGTGTATCATATTTGCTGAATGCTGGAGTAGCATTTATCACCCCCCCTTGCCCCTCCCCCTCCTGTCACACACACCTTCGCTAAGTATAAGAAAACTAAACTCATCATGTTCATATTGTATCGGATTTTTCTTTTTGGAGATATACACTGGTATTGTAACAAGATGACACATACTTTGACATCAGCGAGCATAACAAACTGTTTTACATAAATGAACGAAGGCAAACAGATACAAATAATTTTATGAAAGTATCAGATAAGTGAATTGATTGAAATGATCTGTCCTTAAAAGTCGAGAAAACAGAAATTATATTGATCATTTCAGAAGTACAGTTTTTTTTCTCTCTGATAACTTATGTAACTTTGTTAAATCATCATTAGGTGGCATGAGTTTTTTTAAACTTAGCTAATTACTCCATATTAGACTTGTTTATTTGATTTATACTACACGATGATCTAGTATTATTTACTTGATGATGTTTCGAGCATAAACTATCGTTGCTCATAATCATGTCAGTGTAATCATACTACTTTCGACATTTGATTTTTATAGTTACGTCACCTCATATGATGAGTTGTTTTTATTGGTAGCAAAATTTTCCATATCTCTGGTATAGGTGTTGCGTCATTTCTATTACATGTGTTGTTGAGTGTCGATTCGATGAACAAAGATTCAGTAATCAATCTCTTTCTCCATTTATTTATATTGGACCTAATTACAGTGGCTTTGTCTGACCTCATTGTGTGGTTGTATGTTAATGCATACAATGCAGTAGCCGAGATTTTTTCCAGATTATTCATCTTATTGTGGTCTGTTATTCTACATTTAGATAAATTCCTGTGTTCGGCTATTCTAACTGACCCCGTCCGACTAGTTTGACCTATATACTTGACCTCATAGTCATTACATGAAATTTGATCGATTAGATTACTTTGCTTAACTGGTTCTGTAGGATCTTTAAGCCGACTAAGCTTATCTCTAAGTGAGTTTGTGGGTTTAAATGCCACCCTAATTCCAGCTCTGTTGAGGATTCTACGTCAAGTTTCTGAGGTCCCCTCCTTATAGGGTAACATAATGGAGGCTGTGAACTCCTTTTTACTCCTGTTGTCATTGTAAGTCGCACTCGTGTGACTGTTATTTTTTCGTTTTTTGTGTGTCCGTAAGAATTTCTTAATAAACTGCTGAGGATAATTACTAACTATTAACCCTTCTTTTACGTGTTTCAATTCCTTGTTTAGGTTCTTGTTCTGACTAGTCAGTTTCTAGCTCTATTATTTAGACATTTGACTAAGCCTGCCTTAACTGACATTGGATAGCAAGTGGTGGAGAGAGACATTGATTACTGAATCTTTGTTCATCGAATCGACACTCAACAACACATGTAATAGAAATGACGCAACACCTATACCAGAGATATGGAAAACTTTACTACCAATAAAAACAACTCATCATATGAGGTGACGTAACTATAAAAATCAAATGTCGAAAGTAGTATGATTACACTGACATGATTATGAGCAACGATAGTTTATGCTCGAAACATCATCAAGTAAATAATACTAGATCATCGTGTGTTATAAATCAAATAAACAAATCTAATATGGAATTAAATTCTACCACAGTGCCCAAGTTTTACACATATATTAGCTAATGACTTTTCAGCATTTCTTAGATCAAAACTAGCATTTCGTCTCTCAGTAACCAAAAGTATGCTCATGCGCCAGACGATGAACCGGGTTAAAGATACTGATTGCTCAAACCTCCGTGGGTGGAGCGATGCTCGAACCATTGCTGAGGCGATTGATTGAAAGTCGACTGCCTTGAATAATGAGCCATAGCTCAACTACTTTATATACTTTGAAATCTCGTCTAGAGTTGGGCGTCGTGGTTCAGGAGGTCGCTGATTCGAATCTCTCTGTTACCCATATTTTCATTTCACCTTCAACCACTACTCAATGTCAATACAAGTTTGCCAAACCGACAGCTACCTCAGATAGTCAAACTGATAATTGAACTATTAAATCAGCTCTTTTGTTCACTTGTCAGAGTAATTGATAAATTTGTTTACTATTTTTAGTCACGAAGTCCCAAAATAAACTGAAAAAGAAGAGGATTGGATTCCGACCCAGTGGCTCAATGGTAACGTGCTGACCATGAAACCCGAAGGTCATGGGTGTGGTCCATGGTGGGATGGGGTTATGGGTTCGTAGTGCTGAGGGGTCCCATACTAGGGTGAAACAAAGGTCCAGTGCTCCCAGGTTCCCAATATTCCTCCAACTGATGTTTTGTTTAATACCTGAGGACATAGTATAATACATCACCATCATCACAGGGTTAACGTTACGTGATCCCCCTTAAATTTAACAATTGCATTTTTCAAGTTGTTATTAATCGTAGACTGACATCAGTTGGAGGAACAAAGGAAAACTGGGAGCACTGGACAGCTGTTTCGTCTGACTAGTATAGGACTCCTCAGCAGTGCGCACCCACGACCCCGCCAAGGATCGAACCCGTGACCTTCAGGTCCCGCAGCCAGCGTGTTACCATTGAGCCACTGGGTCAGAATCCAATGCTCAACGATGACATTGGGTGGCGGTTGCGCTATATCGTGAGATAACAGAAGTTTGAAATATGGAGCATTGGATTCTGACCCAGTGGCTCAATGGTAACACGCTGGCCGCGGAACCTGAAGGCCGCGGGTTCGATCCCTGCTGTTGGGGTCGTGGGTGCGCACTGCTGAGGGGTCCTATACTAGTCAGACGAAACAGCTGTCCAGTGCTCCCAGTTTTCCTTTGTTCCTCCAACTGATGTCAGTCTAC